CATATGATGCATTTTCATTTTCAGCAAACTTTTAACTCGAAATCATCTTATTTGGAGATAAATATTTTTTTTCATTTTCTTTGAAAAAATACCAAAAAAATCATATAAAATAATTAAGAGCTAACATCAGCCTTTCATTGCTGAAACCATTGTTTAAAAAGGATGACTTAACGATCTATAAAATAAAAAGTTGGTGTGACATTCCACCTTAACAAACTACACATGTAATTATGAAATTGTCCTAGATGTCATTTTAGTGTAAACTCAATGTAGAAATATGAAAGATAAAATCACACTAAAATGAGATCAAAACTAGGGTTAAAGGACATTTAATAAAAATATTACGCTATAAAACAATTAGTATATTAATCCAATTATTGTATGTATTTTTTGTTTCTTTCAATTAAGGTGGAAAATCTAAACAGAAGGTATGCCTTATAGTTTTGTCATAGTAGGGGACACTGAATTTAAGATAATGCAGTTAGGATGCCATTACATGTTTTTTCAGTGATTAAAAATCGGAAATTGAAATATTTAATGTCTTTTCATAATTTCAAGCATTGTTCTGGACTGCAAATAAATTGAAATAAAACTGAAGCAATTTGGAAGGGAAAGAATACAAATTTCAAACCAGGAATCTTGCCAGTAAAATGGTCAGAAGGTGAATATTTACCCGTGGTATTTGGTTTAGTTCAAGTGGGGAACAAAACGCCCGTGATAAGGACTTTTAAAATAGAAAATTAGAAGAACTAAAAATAACATGTTCATACGGAAACTGAAAAGCCAAAAGTTAAAAGTTCAGTATCCTGCCGAAAAATTTATAAATGTGGATTGCAAGTGAAAATTTTGAAGCACAATTAAAATCATTAAAGCTTGGTCGGGTTAGAACGATATTAAGTAATACAAAAGCAAGATGGAGAAGTATAATTTAATCTTACCTGGCGGGTTTAGTATTGATGACTTTATGATAAACAGATGCCGTTTAAATTGGCTATATGCATATTTAACATTACCACAATTTTACAAAGTCATTTTTGAAATATGGACACAACTAAGATGTAATAATACTTTGCAATAAATCAAACGTAGTATTCACAGTCATAATAAGTTCTGTAATGCCAAAAACAAGTCATATACAAAAGGTAAGTAGACATAAAAAGAATGAAATAACTTCAAAAATTACAAACAAATAAACTAATAAAAACACGATGAATTTTCTAAAAATAATAATACAGGAAAAATAACGGTTTATGGTATCTAAGACACATGTGTAATTACTGTAAATGTATTATATTTAGCGTGTACGATATTTGGCAGAAATTGACTATTTAGCCAGTTAGCTTAGATTTGATTTTGCTCATTTCTTAATGCTCTACATTATGTATATATGTGCAAGACATTTAGCGTTGTACTTGAATTAGAGGAAGTTCTTTTCCGCCAAAAGCGCTAAAAAGAATACACCGCCAAATGTAATACGGTTACAGTATCTACTGTTAGACACATGTAACTGAAAGATACCCACATTCATTTTATAGTTATAAATAAACCAATTTTCTATGACAATGACATGCAAAAACGGTTATGTCAGATCACATCTGATTTTTATCTCAAATACCAACCAACGTTTGAAATGGAGAGAATAAAAATAATATTATTCTTACAAAATACATCTTTAGCAAACATTCTTAGTTTATTGCATACGCAATGCTAGTTCCCTTCCGACAAGAGCAAAACATTAAACTCCTCCTTAAAATTGCCACAAAATCAAGTGTGACATACTGACAGACTTACAGCTATATAAAAAGATGAACCTGTGAGGAGGAAATCGATGCGAGGCCCCTGGTTTCAGCAGTAGGGGACTAATTCAATGCAAATCAAAAAGGAAGTAAAATATTTTTATTTTGGGTACTTTTCGTAAACTCCATTTTGCATAAAAAACTTCTGACCTTTTCAGATTGAAAATATTATTTAAAACACAACAACTGAAAAAAATTTGGTCAATCTAAATGCCCTTTATAAGCTATCATACATGTAAGTATTTGTTAAAATAATGATAACAATAAATACACAAAATTTCAACATAACTTATAAAGAACATCGTAATTCAGAAGAATATTCCATAAATATTGCTACTATCAGCTCGAGGCCATAAGATTCCATTCAATCAAACATAAATATTTTCTATATGATTTGATTCTTAGGTGAATAATGTACTAAAGTTACGTCGATTTATTTTTGCGAATTTGGGGCAAAAAGCTGTTGATTAATTTTTACGCTTCAAATTTTTGCAAATTGTTACTGGCGCTAGAAATAAAAAATCAATGAAGATTTTCAAACCAGGTATTGTTTCAAATTAGTATGCACAGTTAGAATACCACCAAATTACTAGTAACGTGGCAGAATCGCTCCGAAACAATTTTGATAAAATACATGTAAAAGGATTTGCACTGAAAATAACTTTTTAATTGATTATAAAAACATTTTAGAGATTGTGTATGCCTTTACCTAAAATATAATCCAAATGAAGTAAAAAATATAACTAATTTTCTCAACGTTTGGTTTTTTTTCTCACCTAAAATTTAGACGCCGTGTTTACATTTGGAACTCTCTAGTAAATGCACTAAGTTCGAGTGATCGCCCGTGTTGATACACGGTTAGATAAAATAACAGTTCTCTCTTTATTGGCAAAATAATTAAAAAAGGGCATACCGTCTCAGTGCTTGTTAAACCATCGGAAGATATTGCATATAATGAGGGCAATTTACAATCACGGGTAATTAACTTGTAGTTGTAGTAGTATAAACAGGTTATTTTTAAAAATGACCAGTGCTTATCGACGCCTATTCTCTGAGTTAAAAAAAGACACGAGCTCTAAGAAAAAAAAATCTTCACATGTTGATTTATTTTTAAGAAAAATATTTTTGCGAATGCAATGTATGCGCAAATTTGCTAAAAATTTATCTACAGTAAAATTTTCCAGATTTACGGTATGCTGGTATTTTGTCATTATATGATGGTATTTTATCATTTTATGATGGTATTTTGTCATTATATGATGGTATTTTATCATTATATGATGATATTATATAACTTTGTGAAATCCGATAATCTGTTTGGTCAATACGAAGTACTTATTTTTTAATAACGACCGCTGAAAGCGAATAATGACTCGCACGAGCTGCCTCGTTTTCACTTTCGCTTTAGACAAACATGGAAGTTCGCAAGTTGTAGATAAGAAAAATTTAAAAGACATAGTGAAGAACTCTGAGGCTGATAATACAAAACAATTACAAGCATATCTGTCAACATTTTTCGGGAATACTTAGCACATACCCTTTCATGGTTGAGTTCGACTTTTCCACTCACTCGGCGAGCAGAGTTTTGACGCTGTTTACGCGATTACGGAGACTAAAGAAAATAAATACAAGCATGCCATGTAAGATTGTATCTTATCTTTGAAGAAATAGGTATTTATATTTTGTGAGTGCATTTCCTCTGCAAGTGTAAACGAGTGCGATTCTCAATCTGGGGGAGGGGGAATTCTGTGTTATCCGGAGATAGATATATTGCGTTATTATTATGATATGGGTTAAAATTTATTACCGAAACAATTTCCTCTGAGTGATATTCAATGAATTCTGAAACATTTACTGGATGATCGAAGCTAGAAATAAAGACGAAAAAGTAGTAGCATATAATGAAAAGTAGTATAAAGAAAAGTAGTATAATGAAAAGTAGTAGCATATATTGACAAAATACCATCATATAATGACAAAATACCATCATATAATGACAACATACCATCATATAATGACAAAATACCATCATATAATGATGAAATACCATCATATAACGACAAAATTCCATCATATAATGATAAAATACCATCATATAATGATAAAATACCATCATATAATGACAAAATACCATCATATAATGATACCAGAAGTCTCTGTCGAGACTGTAGCTCTACTGGTTTGTACTTATAACAAAGGATGAGAAAAGAAGCCATTGCCATCAGACCAAAACTGTAGAAGGAGTAGCGTTTTAAAGGAATTTCACAGACATTTCTATTTATAGTAACCATGGCAACACCGTTCGTCAAAATCAAAAACTGATGTACTATTTTATATATCTTAGTGTAGTCTATTTGTGTGCCAAGTTATATTGCAATCAGACCAAAACTGTAGGAGGAGTAGCATTTTAAAGGAATTTCACAGAAAATTCTTGTTTTAGTAACCATGGCAACACCTTTCATCGAATTCAAAAACTGATGCACTATTTTATGTATCTTTGTGTAGTCTACTTGTGTGCAATGTTATATTGATATCAGATCAAAATTGTAAGAGACGAGTAGCGTTTTAATGGAATTTCACAGAAAATTCTATTTTTAGTAACCATGGCAACACCGTTCATCAAAATCAAAATCCGATGCACTGTTTTATGTATCTTAGTGTAGTCTACTTGTGTGCCAAGTTATATTGAAATCAGATCAAAATTGTAGGAGGACTAACGTTTAAAAGGAATTTCACAGAAAATTCTATTTTTAGTAACCATGGCAACACCGTTCATCGAAATCAAAAACCGATGCATTATTTTATGTATCTTAGTGTAGTCTACTTGTGTGCCAAGTTATATTGAAATCAGATCAAAATTGTAGGAGGAGTAGCGTTTTAAAGAAATTAATTTTGAATAGTAAATTTACGGTCGATAATGCTCAGCAACATGGCCAGATTTGTCCTTAATTCCGATTTCAGCTCCAAGTTTAACAAGCAAACGAAAAAAGGCAGGATTTTTTACTGCGTAGTGGAGGGGTGTACATCCCGCAAGGTTCTGCATATTGATAAGCGTTCTTATTTTTGCCATATTTTGGACGGGAGGAGTATGGAATAAATCTTCATTTTCAATTGACCAAAGGTGATGTAAAGTAAAGAAGAAACTTTTATTTTCCATTAAGCACAAATAATGTAAAAAGGTATTTCCGATTGCATCCTTCAATGTTATAATATCTTTGTCAAACAAATAAAATCAGAGCGATGTAAACCTTTTAATATCGGATTATCTGAATAAAACAGAAGCGGCCATATCTCCAAGGGGGATAAATCTGCTATATTTCCATAGCTCACTTCATCAATTATCGTTTTCTCCTCTAACCAATTGCACTCACTTGTCGTACAGTTTTCTGGAGATAAGCATGGTACAGTGCTTTTATGAAGGTTCCATAATTCATCGGGAAGATCAGCAAGAATAATGCTATATATGTCAATGTACTTTCTGCTATTTAAAGCATTTTCCGTTATTTTATTGAATACACAATGGGTTCTAAGCAACTTCGGTAACATCCTGTAGTCACTACCATTCATATTACTCAGTAAACTTGGATATTTTTTGAACAGCCTAGAAGCAATATCCTCTCTTCCTTTCATACGTGCCATACGAAGACATTCGATTCTCATTGCTTCAGACAAGTCTTCTTGTAAAAATAATTCTATAATGTTTTGCGACCCATTTTCAATTGCATAAAAGAAAGTCAAATTCCCTTCTTTGTCTGAAAATTTAATCAAATCGCCCTTAGAGAGAAGAAAGTCAGTCCATTGTGTCGTCTTTTCCAATAATGATATGTGCAAAAGTGACTGTCCATCACTATTTTTGTAAGTAAGGACATCACTGTATTTGTCCAAAATTTGGCTAATAATTGATTTACACTGGACAGATTGAAGCAAATACGGAAAGTTCATACCAAGTATGTGAACACCTTTTTTTAGTAGTTCGTCTGATATATTATAGTAGCCGTTTGCAACTGCCACTGTTAGAGAATCAACCCCACCTTCCGAAAGCATTTTGACATCAGCATCAGACTCCAACAGTTTTTGTACAATATTTATATCACCGATGTAACATGAAATGTGCAATGGTGTTAAACCTTTGTAATCCTGACTATTCACATTTCCTCGATTAGAAATTAAAGTAGAAAGAATATCAATATCGTGGTTTTGAGCAGCGATATGTAATGATGTAGATCCGGTCATATCTGCAATATTCACATTTGCTCCTTTTTGTATAAGTAACATCAAAACCTTTAAATTTCCATTAAAGCAAGCCATATGTATAGGTGCTCGTCCATCTTTGTCGAGCAAATTAACATGTGCCTTATTTCTCAAAAGCATTTCTGTGACATTTGAAAAATTCCCAAAACAAGCAAGATGTAAGGGAGTAAGGCCATCTTTGTCAGCAATGTTTATATCGATATTATTCTGAATGAGTATATCGACTATCCTTTCAAGTTTCTCTATTAATCCTTTTCCATATTGACAGTATTCTATAGATGTGGTCATATCTGATGTGTTATATGAAATAACATTTTGTGCAGAATTCTTTGAACCGCTTAACTTATTTACTTTCCTATGGAAGCAACGATCATTTTCTCTTTTGTCATGTGTAAAAAATCTTTCAGTTTTTGGATTTCGGCATGCATGATGGATTGCTGTTTTATTCTCTTTATCTAGTGCATTCACATCTACCTCATGTTGTAGAAGAATTAAGATGCATTCTTTGGATAAATTTTCTGAAGCAATATGCAAAGGAGTTCGATTATCCTTGGTGAGAATGTTTGGACATGCTCCTTTGAAGAGCAGATAATAAAGAAGTTCTGAGTTACTATGTGCACAACTGATATGAAGTGCTGTCAGACCATTCTCATTCCTATAATTTATATCAAGTCCTTGATCCAATAGTAAAGAGACGACATTTTTATTTCCGTTTTGACAAGCTTTCCAAAGTCCATTCAGTTGATTTTGTATATTTATTCTTTTTTCCAATAAAGATTTGATGGTATCAGAATTTCCAATAAAACAGGCTAACGCTAATGGAGTTTCGCCGTCATTAGTAGTTAAGTTAATATCGCATCCCTTCTCAATAAGGAAAGAAGTAATCCTATTCTGCTCAGAAAATATGGATGAATATAAAGCTGTCCATCCAAGATTGTCTTGTGAATTGAAATTTGCCCCAAGAGTAATCAAAAGCTCTGCAGCTTCCAATGAACCATTTCGACATGCTAGAGACAATGGTGTCTCACCGTTGTCATCTTTGATATTTACTTCAGCTCCAAAGTCATTTAATAATTTGATTACATTAACATGATTATTCCGACAGGCCTCATGGAGTACAGAAATACCGACTTCATTCTTAGAGTTCACAGATGCCCCTTTTGATAGTAAGTAATGAGTAAGATCACAATGCCCATATAAACTGCTTACCATTAAAGGTGAAACCACTTCATCAATTAAATGAAAATTTGATGTAAGGTCTTCCTGAGAGCAGACTTTCTTTTGGATGAGGAATTCCAATATTTCTATTTTTCCCGTTATACAAACTAGAATTGGCAATGGGATTCGTGCAATGGGACAATGATCTTCATGACTTTTCTTTTCTTTATCAAAGTCACAATACAAACAATTATCATCTGAAAACATTTCTTCCATAAGATAATGAACATTTTCATAAATTTTTAAATAATAGTCAAAGCACCATTGAACAATTTCAATATTTTCACTAAGAATAGCAAAATATATTGAACATGCCTTCTGATCGAATAAAGTTTGAAAAAGAGTCTCATTTTCAATTTGAAACAGATATTTTAAAACTGTTGACCAGTTGTATGCCATAAGTAAATGAAGAAATGAAATTCGGCTATTTCTTAATAAATCTCCCTTCGAAAATGAAGTCATACAGTCCATTCGAATTGATGACAAGCTTCGGCCTATTTTCGTAAGTGCTTCATCCAAAACATGTCTATCTTCTAAATGAGAAATCAGACCAGATTCAATCTGTGCTTTTGGCATGGCTGGGTTTTCAAAAACTTCAAAAACCATCCCTCGTTCTATGTCTTTCTGTATTCTTTCTACATAACATGTCAACATGCTTCCATCCAATTCTACTAGAAACAAATCTTCATTATCATCACATTCTAATCTTCCAAGAGGTCTAAGCCTATTTTGAAATATTTCTAATGGTGAATGTTGTATCAATGTTTCTGGTGATTGTTTTCCAAAGTGCCAAACTATTATATCAAGCAGTTTTGTGTGTATTAGAGAAAACGTTTGACCTATTTCTTTGAGATACTTTCCAACAAGTCTGTTGATAGCAGAAAATAAGTCTAAGGGATTGAGATCTATTTCACAAGCGTTGTGAATGTGTTTAAGGCATTCAAAGTCTTCAGATGCTTCCCTTTCAGATAGATATAATGCAAGTTTGTCTTCTGAAAGGGAACAACAAACTAGAGCACAATATTCGTAAATGCTTTCTGGTTTTGGATCGTCTATCATCAAGTCAAGCTTCGAGACTAACTGAACGAAAGGATTGTCAAAAAAAGTTACCAACCGCTCTGGATCAGCCCAAGCATTTACATACAACTTACAAAGCAAGGGGAAGCAATCAATATGCTTTTCAAACAATTGCTTGGGTAAAACTAGTTCGCACTGAACATAAGCTTCCAAGATTTGTTTCTTCTCAATAAATGATAAATGATTTTCTAGAATATCTAAATTGAATATGAAATCTGAGAATATTTTAATCTTTCTGAATGCACGGGCTGAGCTTAAAGCTAACCGACATGAAACAAGAAGTTTTGCTTTCTTTTGGCCTTCTCTTCCTTTGAAATCCAGACATTTTTTAATATCTTCAGAATGCTTAGCCCATTCATAAAAATGTTCATTAACTGTATATTCACCACATGGATCATCGGCAACAAAGACTTGAGGATTTTTTCTGTTGCGATAAGTCGTAATCTCCTCAGGACGACTAACAGGTATGATGGAAAATCCTTCTCTCCCCATTTTAAGCGCGATGTGATGAATAATGGCAGACTTTCCTGATCCTGGATGACCAACCACCACAACACATGGGTGTTCTTTAATGAATTCTTCAACAGCTGTAGATGATTTTGTTTCTACAAATACTTGATCTTCTTCTTCCCAGGACTCCAGTTTTTCCTCAATAAATTCTATATAATTAAAATCAGGAAAGTAAATAATGCAATATGGCTAAGTTAATAGATTTTATATTTTTTCCCCTTTATTTAGACAGGATAACACAATTAGTACATATGCCTAGTTTACATTGTGGTCCTGTATAAAACACATTTACAGACAAATAAAAAAAAATAGTAGGAACTAGAATAAGAAAGAATATATACATGGCATATGATATCAGACATATTTGTACATACAAGTCTATTAAATACTAGTATTAAATATTGTGCCATAAGATAAAATTCATTTAAGAAGAATTTCTTCACCTGTTCAAATTATAATTTTGCAAATATGCTATTTTAAAAACAAACTATGGAATTAGAGTTTCGAACAGTGTCAGGCAACTGGTTCCATAAAATTGCAGTTGAAACATTAAAAGACCGTTTATAATACACACTTCGTGTTTTTGGAATGTATATATTTTGTATTTTATCTTTTTTCCACTTCGGCTATAAATACTATGACTATAAAAAGATTTTACTAAAAATATTTTGAACTCTAATCATTCATATTATACCTTTGGAGGTTTTACAGATTATAGTGACCATTAAAGAAACCTGTTTGAAAGTTTTTTGAGATGTAAATGAAAATATCTAGACATCAATAGCTGGTGTGGACAATAGTTGAGGAGGATTCCCATTTCTATTTATAATATGAGGTGTCTAGATATAGATATGTCTCTGAATATTAGGGAAAATGGCAGTTGTATCCTAAATTGCAGCTTCATAGATAACAAATATAAAGCTTTCTACAATATGCCATTAAAACCAGCATGTGTTTGTAGAATAATTGATACAATATTGAGGTTTGATTCTTGTTTCTTTTTATTGCAACAATGGTCTAGAAATAGATTCTTCGAATAATCAAGAACGCTTTTTTCAGGCACTTTTTAAGATATCATTGCTGCATAAATAGGAAGAATATTGTAAAACTTGACATTTTTACGACAGTAACTATTGTTGGTGCCTACAAAGAATGGATGTTAAGTAACTAAAAACATATCAATTATGTAATTAAGGAGAAATTGGCGAAAGCTTACAATGAACTGCGACAACGCCGAGGTGTTTGTCAGTTGTTCATGGCGTGATTGCAATGATGTTTTGAGAATTTAATGAAAAAATTATAGTTTATAATTAAAATTTAACTTAAGATCTACCCAAAAATAAATATAAGCTTTAGAGTTTCTGCAGCTGACAAAATTCTCATAAAACAAAGATTAGTTTCTATTTTCTATTATCAATCGCCAAAAAATGTATTAAAATCTTGTCTACGGTGTTAATTAAAAAATTATAACTTAACTTGCTTATTTTGTTCATTTTTTATTCATGAAAAGGAAGTAGAACAAGCCATTCTATAATTATGTACCGGTATATATTATTCTGCTGTGTGCTTACGTCACATAATGAACTATTTTAATAACTTCATTCATACACATGTATGATGATATTTGTTCTCTGCATGATTATATAATAGAGAGCTTCCACAAATGTATATATTTACATTAAAGTCGTATCCTTAACATAAAAATAATATAGTTTACTATAGTTAACTATAGTAAATCAAAGTGACAAAGTTTTCGTCAATGTTTTCCAAAGTGTCAAAGTTTTCGTCAAAGTTTTTCAAAGTGTCAAAGTTTTCGCCAAAGTTTTTCATAGTGTCAAAGTTTTCGTCAAAGTTTTTCAAAGTGTCAAAGTTTTCGCCAAAGTTTTTCAAAGTGTCAAAGTTTTCGCCAAAGTTTTTCAAAGTGTCAAAGTTTTCGCCAAAGTTTTTAAAGTGTCAAAGTTTTCGTCAAAGTTTTTCAAAGTGTCAAAGTTTTCATCAAAGTTTTTCATAGTGTCAAAGTTTTCGTCAAAGTTTTTCAAAGTGTCAAAGTTTTCGATAAAGTTTTTCAAAGTATCAAAGTTTTCAATAAAGTTTTTTAAAGTATCAAATTTTTGGATAAAGTTTCTCAAAGTGTCAAAGTTTTCGATAAAGTTTTTCAAAGTATCAAAGTTTTCGATAATTTTTTTGAAAGTATCAAAGTTTTCAATAAACTTTTTCAAAGTATCAAAGTTTTCGATAATGTTTTTCAAAGTGTCAAAGTTTTCGATAAAGTTTTTCAAAGTATCAAACTTTTCGATAAAGTTTTTCAAAGCATCCAATTTTTTGATAAAGTTTTTCAAAGTGTCATAGTTTTTGAAAAGTTTTTCAAAGTGTCAAAGTTTTTGTCAAAGTTTTTCAAAGTGTCAAAGTTATCACTATAATAAATCAAAGTTTTCAATGTGTCAAAGTTATAACTATAGTTAACTATAGTAAACTAGAGTTAACTATAGTTAACTATAGTATTTTTTGTTAGGGATACTGCTAAGATCACCTCTAACATTCCAGGGTATCGTTTCTAACCGTTCCAATCTTAGTTGTCTTATCTCCAGTAAATGCTCCAAAAGAAGTTCTCGCTCAGAGTCATCGATTGAGGTTACCCTTAAAGTCATAGCTTCATTTAGTAAAGCAGAACCTCCAAGTCTTCCAATAGCCTAAAACGATTCCAAACATGTATATAATGAGGATTATACACGAGTCTTCTAAATTAGAAAGTAAGGTCAATAGCAAGGCAGGGTTTCAGGAGAAAAAAGGGTTTAATACATAGGCTTTTTCCATTTAAAAAACAGTCATTGAAAGTGATCTCCCGTTTGGAATTCTCTATGCGGTGGAAATAAATAAAGCGTTTACAGAGGTAAACAAAAGCACGTGTTTTTTTAACGGATAGAATCAACTATAATATAAGAAAAAAAGCAGTGATAGTTTGTTATACATTATATTGTGTAAACTGAAAGGGCAGACAATCAAAATGTCCTCATTTACCATAGTTATGCTGGGAAGAACAAAGATGCGACATGTGCTAAAAGTTACGAAAGCTAGAGTGGTAACCGGATAAGAACAGTTCTATAGGTCATGCTTAGTAACTTCTGATAAAATTTATAATAATTCAATGCAAATATATTTATGAAAATTTATTTCCCATAACGTAAATTACATGATAGAAACTCTTGATCATTGTGAATAATAATTAGATGTGAAGGGAAGCAACTCAAAATTAACAAACAGTGCTGGAATTTCTTTGTTTTGTCTCTATATTTCGCATTTTCAGCCAAAATATATACACGTCATCGGATATAAGTATACAACAAGGTATTTTATTCAAAACGTCTGTGAAAGAAATGAGTTTTAGAGAAATTGAATGGTTAAAAATTATCTAGGTTCTTTTTATCATCATTTTACATAGGTAATGCATTGACTCTGATTAAGAATTGTGAAAGCATTGATTAGACGAAAACTAGGAATGAAGGCTGACTTGGTGTGTAAAAAGAACCAGAATTAAACATGTTTTGTACCATTAAACATGTTCCAAAATTCTTGAAAAATTCTATACTAAAGCCAGAAACATTGCCAATGTCCTTAAATTGATTAAATTGATTGTGCGATTCTCAGTTATTCTTGGACTCTCATTAAGGCTTTGCATTCTCAACGGCATGCCTCTCAAATGGTGACCGATTCTCATTGGTTTAGAAATTAATGACCTCATCAACTTGAGATTATTGTTGACAACAATGATATGACTTAAGCCCACCTTTTTAATGTACGAACCTTTTTTATCGGTTCCTAGATACACTCGGTGACATTCACCCGTTTTTTGTACTCTGTATATTTCATCAGTGATTTGAAAAGCTGTGTAAATTTTAGTTTGTCATGCTATGTAATTTGGCTGAAAAATTACGATCAGAAAACACTCTAGCCTTGTAGTTAAAATGTTGTAAAATAGGAATGCGGGTGTTATGCATATGTATGTAATATCAAAAGGTACTTGTTTATTGAAAATCATCACGTAGATCTGCACGTTGGCCCCACTTATATCGAACAATTCGAACTAACACCATTTTTGTTGTCTATGTTGTTAACATAAACTAGCAAGGTTCATCATTTGAGAGACAAAGCGTCGAGATTCCTCACTGAATGTCCAAGTATAACTGAGGAATTTACGATCTCAAAAATTAACTGGAGAGCAATTCGCAACATACCCATTATTCAGATTTCTTTATTTCGTTTTTTTTTATTAATATCATCTATTTTATGCATATGAAATCAGATGACTTTATTTTACGGGAAAAGGTATTAATTTTTTGGTCGGGGTCGGCCTGCGGCCTTGGGTATATATAAGTAGGAAAGCTCGGGAACAACTTTCTTTTCATCAACTTGCTGGATACAGAGTAGGTTGAATATTTCTTTGTCAAGTTTTTTCATAATATTTGTAAGAAATTTTTTGCATCTGCCTTAAATACATTTAAATTTTGGTTAATGGATAATAAAGTTTGTATGTTCTTAATACATTTTTAATCCAACGTATATATTTTTTCTGGATTGTGCTGGATTTACAGCTCGATTAATGTGACACGACAGCCATTTTGAATATATTAATGCAAATTTTTGCCCGTAGCAAATTTATCAAAAAAGTTTGTATCTGGTGAATTACAATTAGTAATTTTTGTTTGTTATTTACTCTAACGAGCGGAAATGCCTCCCAAAAATAAGACTAAGCGGAATTGCAGACTGAGAGACAACGAGGGCAAAGCATCAAGTTCAAAGAGGTCAAGACAAGAGCGACCAGCGGTAGCGATAGAGGTTGACGATAATCATACAGTTCAGGAACCAGGGGCCCATTTTAAAAAAAGAACTTAGGACTTAAGACCAAATTTAGTTCTTCGTATAACATTCTAAATAACAATATATTGAAAATGAATCTAATCTTTCTAAAAGGAATGTAGTAAGATATCTTTACAGTAGCAGTTTTAAAGAAAATCATTAATTTTGCAAAATGTTACATTCATCTGAAGTTTTTGGCCTTAGTCGTAAGTTCTTTTGTAAAACAGACTCCAGGTCCTTCAGGAAGCATCGCCGCCCAAGAGAATGTAGTTGGTGCCAGAAAGTCAAACTCTACCCCCTGGCCCCAGCACCTGTGCCTGCTTTGGCCATTGAATCTCAATCAGGTACAAGCATTGGTTATGAGAATCAATATGTAGATAGCATTCATTCACTATTGGCTAGCAATGTCTCTAACTCATTGAAGTCTAAAATCATTAGTTCAGCATACATAGAGATTAGTTTGTTGCTTGATAACACTTCCCTGACAGAATCTTCAGAGAAAAAAATATTTTTTAATGAAAAAGGGGAGTTGGTCACAAGAGAGGTTGTTAAACCTAGCAATAAGATTCAAAATATCAGTAAATGGACAGATGCATTCTTAGTTTACTCTAGCATTTATGCTTCAGCCCACCCAGAATCTTACCAGGGTTTGCTGAAATATTTACATGACATAAGACTCGGGGCTTCAAGGTGTGGGGAGGGGATTTGGGATGGAAGAAATATGACGAGCAGTTTCGACTTCGCCGCAGTATCGATCCCACCATAGATTGGTCTAAAGTAGACTATGAGTTATGGTTGATGTTTATGTCATCATCCCCACAATCTAAACTAACAATTAAACCAAACAGCCCAGCCTACAGCAAGTGCTATAATTTCAACTTCAAGGGTCATTGTGACAGACCTTCTTGCCAGTACATGCACAAGTGCATTAAATGTTCTGGGAGTCATCCACAATATTTGTGCCCTCAATCTAATTATGTTGGGAAGTCCACAAGTTACCCGAGGGGACCACTGCTGAAGGGCAACCCCAAGTTAGACCCCTTATGTCACACCCAACACAAACCCACAGACCACAAAGGTATATGGGCCCTAGGAAATTTCCCTATTAATGTTGAAAAGTTAAATGAATATTTGCAGCCATATCCAGACAAATATGCTGCTAATTATATAAAAAATGGGTTTTCAAAGGGTTTTGAAATAAATTATACAGGCCCAAGGTGTCATGTGTTTTCAAAAAATATTAAGTCTGCAAGTGAACACCATGATGAGTTGATGGAAAAGATAAGTAAGGAAATAAAGCTTGGCCGAATCATGGGTCCTTTTGATCAACTTCCAATTTCTAACCTCCATATTTCGCCAGTTGGCATTGTCCCTAAATCTGATGGAGGGTGGCGAATGATTACCCATTTATCCTATCCTAGTTCCCAGGGGATCTACGACTTCATAGACCCAGATTTATGTACAGTGCAGTATGCATCATTTGATGGTGTAGTCAATATGATTGCAAATTTGGGAAGGGGCGCATTGATAGGTAAGATGGATATTAAAAGTGCTTTTCGTTTAGTTCCGATAAATCCAGGGGATTTTGACTTGTTAGGTTTCTCTGTAGATGGATTATATTACATAGATAAATGCCTTCCCATGGGTTGTTCCATTAGTTGCAGAATTTGGGAAACATTTGCAACTTTTCTACACTGGCTTGCTCAGTTCAAGTCTGGATTGAATACATTAGATCATTATTTAGACGATTTCCTTTTTGCAGGTAGGTCTGGTAGTGATGAATGTGAAATTCTATTGTCTACTTTTAGTAACTTAGCTGGGGATTTAGGGGTACCACTAGCCCATGAGAAAACTTCTGGTCCAACAACAAAATTAATATTTCTAGGTTTCGAAATTGATACACTAGAGATGACAATTAAGATTCCAGAAGCTAAGTTAGAAATCCTGAAGAGTCTGATTGACATTTTTTTAGATAGGGAAAAAGTTACACTGCAAGAAATGCAGTCTTTAGTTGGAATGCTCAATTTTTTCTCAAAGGCAATCAGATCTAGTAGAGCTTTTATTCGAAGAATGTATGATGCATTTAGTGGAGTTTTCAAGCCACATCATCATATAAGATTATCAGTAGGAATTAAAAATGACCTTAGAATGTGGCTGGTGTTCTTGAACCATTTCAATGGGGTTGCATATTTTCCTAATACTGTATGGGAAGATTCTAGCATTTTACAGTTATTTACAGATAGTGCAGGTTCAGGTCATTTAGGTTGTGGGGGTTACTTTAGTGGAAGTTGGTTTTTTCTCCAATGGCCAAAACATTGGAATAACCAAGAAATTTTGAGAGACATGACTTTTCTTGAACTCATACCAGTAGTTTTAGCAATAGAGATATGGGGACCTAGGTTGTTACATAAAAAAGTTCAGTTTCATGTTGATAACCTTTCATTAGTTAGTGTCATCAATACCCAATCTTCCAAGTCCAAAAGAGTGATGGAATTGGTAAGACATTTGGTTTTCAGACTGATGATCAATAATGTTATATTTAGGGCAAATCACATTAGTAGCTTGGATAACAAAATTGCAGATTCTATTTCTTGCAAACAGTGGTTCCGCTTCAAGACGTTAGCACCAGAGGCAAGCACCAGACCAGACCCTCTTCCAGTAGAATTAGTCAACATGATTTACAGATTCAAATGAATAAATTGCTAGATGCTTCAATCTCTGAAAACACTAAGACAGCATACGAAACAGGACAAAATTCATTTTATAATTTCCGGAAAGAATTTGGGTACGAAATTTCATGGCCCCCACCTCTTAGAGATGTTGTTCACTTTGTTGCTTATCTGTCACTTAAGAAGTGTTCCTATGCTACGGCAAAATCTTATCTATCTTCTATTAGTTTTCAATGCAAAATTCACAATTGGGTTGATGAAACAAAGAACTTTCTGGTTGTAAAGGTTCTTGAGGGTATGAGAAGAACTGGTAGGTCTGCAGATGCAAGGCTACCTATAACCTTGCAGTTGCTTACTGAAGTTGTTAGGGTTTTATCGAGCATTTGTAGCAATAGTTATGAAACAAAATTGTTCAGAGCTGCTTATATATTAGCCTTCTTTGGTTTTCTCAGAATAGGGGAATTCACATTGTCTACTGGTAATAGTGTTCATACAATTTTACAAGTGACTGATGTTCAATTTGAAGCTAATTACTCCAAGGTTTTTGTACACATAAGAATGTCAAAATGTGATCAGGATAGAAAGGGGGTTTCTTTAGCCATTGATAAAAGTGGGGGAATCCTGTGTCCAGTAGCAAGTTTGATAGATTATCTTGTAGTAAGACCAAAAATTAAAGGGCCATTATTCATCCACTGTGGAAAAAATCCCCTCACCAGGTTTTGAAAAAATCACTTCAGGTTTTGGGGGTTCAGGGACATTATAGGGCCCATTCATTTCTTATCGGGGCAGCCACTGCAACATTTGAAGCGGGGTGTTCACAAGATGTCATAATGGAAGCAGGGCGTTGGAAGTCTAGGGCATACAAATCATACATAAGATGTCCTGTTGGGCAGATGTTGGGGGCAAATAAGTTGTAATTTTGTAAATATAACAAGAATTATTCAAATTATTGCATACATTTGTAGAGGTCTCTGAAGTTAAAGTCTGGTGTGTGGGCTCTTCTATTATTAAGAATGCAATGATGGCATCAGTATGCAGACTGGAGGGAACAAATCTTGGATTGGATAGATTGAAAATAAATATCTGGTGGCAGGGATATTCAGGTTTGAATTTTTTGGGACTTAAAAGAAAGCGCTTTTTTCTGACAGACTATGAGGAATCCCCAGACTTTTTGGTTATTCACTGTGGGGCAAACGATTTAGGATCAATTGATCTGTATACTCTCATTGAGAAAATTAAATCCCATCTAAAGATTATCAAGACTCGCTTTCCACATTCTACACTTGTTTGGTCACAGATGCTGCCACGAAATAAATGGAGGTATTCGGGGGACAATAAAGCAATGGAGCGTTCCCGTCTTAAGGCCAATAGGGTAGCTGCTTCATTAGTGTTAGAGTTGGGGGGTTGTTACATAAAGTACCCTGATTTATTGAAAAACATATCACAATTTCTGTTGCCAGATGGAGTACACCTCAATGACCTAGGAAATAAACTCTTTCTAAATAATATCCAAGGGGGGTTAGAATTTTTCCTGTCAAAGCAAGGAAATGTGTATCCTTAAACAAAACATACTAAAGAACATTGGTCCGTGGGGGCTTTTTTGTCAGTTGCTTGGGTGCTCCCCCATGTGTGGGATGACTGCGAACTCTCATTCGGTTGTTCACTGTCATGTGGCGTTTGCGCACACCAAAGCAACTGAGGCCTACATAAACTTTGTATTGTTGTGAAGTTTTCACCATTGAACTGTGAAGGGGGTTGAAATGTTGAACCATTTTATATGTAAAATATTTGTTGATATGTTGATATAATTTGTTTTGTGCTTGATTTGTGCATATAACTAATTACACTTAAATAAGTAACCGCGGTTTACCCGGGGTGGTCATTTTTTGCACATATGACTTGTTTGTGTTGATGAATTTTGTTGAATTTGTGTGGGTTTGCCCAAAAGTTGTGTGTATTAATTGGCATCCCACAAATTACTATGCCACGGCCAATGTTCGCCAAAATAAAGGTTAAAACAAACATTTTGTTGTCATTTCCCTGTAAAAATAATTATGAATGTGTTTTTATAGAAAAACATAAATTTGTTTTTTTCAATTTTCTTTGTGTTCTACTATAGTAAATTGAACTTTCATTCCCGTCCACTGCTTACTCACTGTTCTACCCATTTATAAAATTAAATTTTCTTTTAGTGATTGGTGTGCCTTTTCTCATTATTTGGTTTATTTTTGAAGAGCCACTGATGTGGGAATAGGAACACTAAGGATAAAGCAAGGTAATACAATTGATTTCTACATAGACTATTGAATGATATAAATGTACTTTCGCTTACCCCCTCTATATCTATCCAGCTAGTATTAAATTCATTTGCATTCATCCTTGCGTCTGTTGAATGAGCAACTTTGTTTCTGTAGAACTTGATTCTTGCTAAGTCAGCCCCAGTACTGACATCTGATGGATTTGGTAGAACATCAAATCCTCCTGCTGGTGCTGGTGTAGAGGGACTCATCACAGGAAGAAACAAGACCTTTCAGTTAAAACTGAAAGGCGGCTTTCAGTAACTTTTTAGTGGCCATTCAGCCACTGAATGGCACATACATTTCAGCAACCTTTCAGCTGCCTTTCAGTCACATTTCAGATACCTTTCAGATACCTTTCAGTCACCATTCAGCGGACACATTTCCGTCAACTTTCAGTGGCCTTTCCATCAACTTTCAGTGACTTTTCCATCAATTTTCAGTGACCTTTCCGTCGTCTTTCAGTGACCTTTCCGTCGACTTTCAGTGACCTTTCTGTCGTCTTTCAGTGACCATTCCGTCGACTTTCAGTGACCTTTCTGTCGTCTTTCAGTGACCTTTCCGCCATCTTTCAGTGATATTTAAGTCTCAATTTAGCAATTTTTTCACTAGCGTATTATTTTATAATCAGATATTTTTCCTTAACAAGGAAGCATATTTTGAATAAAGATTTATTATTCAATCTTAATTGTGTGGGTTTTTTTTATTTACTCATCGTGATCAAATTCGGGTACCTTGAAATATGTCTAAGTAATTATTATATTTTTATAAAATATTTGAGACTTATTCAAAATGATTTTTAATTTTCTAGTAACATTTAGAAAACAAAAATTCTTCAAGTGATAAAAAAAGATGATCCGATAACCGATTCAAAATTTAAATAAATGCATAACATTCTTTAGTGCTTATACGTGTATTTTTTCATGGAAATATATAGTTTTGATTGATGAGACAGAATTTATATTATTTAAACCATCTCTGGAAGATCGCAAGTATTACTGATCAATTTCGTTTCTTAATTATGTCATTGTCAAAACTGCAGGATATTTAGTTTTTGAAAGACATTATTTTAAATTCATTTTTAATGACAAGAATAAATAAATCGTTTATACATGACTCTTGTAGAAAAAAAATATAGTAGATTTTAGCTTTCTAAATGGTATTGATTTAATAAAATCATTCTACTAAGTTTCTAGATAGAGAATTTACAACGATCTTAAATCTTTGACACAGGAACAGGTGCCCGTCTCTGATAATTGTCATCATCCCGATAGGAGATGTGTAATTAATTAGTCTGTCCCCAAAATCCGCGCAACTAACATAGAATATACAAAAGATATACAAGATATATACACATCGCAGCTCCTCGATACAACAGGTGAACTGATTGTTCTATCGATTTATATAAATTAATTGATTTTAGATCCTCATTGCTCAACAAGAAGTCGTAGCGTAATCGATAAGGTAGTGGACACCTAAGCAGGAGACCAGGGTTCGACTCTGGGCATGGGAGCAATTTTTTTTCTTGTATTAATTTTTTTCCTATTTTTTTTATTCGGAATTAGATACATTTAATGCTATTATACCAGGAAAAAGTGAAATAAGATTTTTAGGTAAAAAAATAAGCCGATTATTCAATAAAAAGATTCAACTGAATGATCACGGAAAGGTCACTGAAATGTATGTGCCATTCAGTCGACTGAATGGTAACTGAATGATCACGGAAAGGTCACGGGAAAGGGTCTTTTCAGTGACCTTTCAGTGACCATTCAGTGGCCATTCAGCCACCATTCAGTCGACTGAATGGTGGATTTTCATCCTGTGCATGTTTCGTAAAAGGCAGATTAAGAGTGTAACATCAAAATCCTTTGACATAGGTGCATTAACTAAAACATTTTAAAATGAGGTAATAAATCTTTAAATCAAAAAGTAGTCTGTTCCTAATTTTTTTATCAGTAAGGACAGATGATACAAATGAAACAATGTTTATGTTGGTACATATTTTTGACCTATTTTAAATGATACGACTATTAAATTTCCAAACTGTAGACTTTCTACAATGATCAATATTCTGCCTTTTTACATTCACCCTTAAACTTTTGTAAATCTGAACAATTTATCACCTTAAAACACGCACGTGTAAAATTTTGGAAAAAAGTGAAATCAATAGAGTTATCAGTTTTACATAGTAATACATGATTTGCTTGATTGAATGTATGTTGTTTAATGTCCCTCTCGAGATTTTTTCTCTCATATGGAGAAACAATCAATTACCGCTTGAGAGCTGTCAAATACTCGGCACTCAAGGCAATTGCGCAGGGGGATCTTTTTGTGCCAGCACTTTCTGCAACAATGGACGTTGGTTTTTACGGTCTCATCTGAAAGACCCGCCGGTCTCAACGTCCCTCAGTGGGATTCAAACCCCACTGTAGGAAAGCTGGTGACAGCAATATATATGTCGGTCATCAAAATATGCCGGTGTAAAGACGAATAATGACCCCCATCGAATAATGACCGGGGGTCATTTTTCAACGACAAAAAATGACCCCTTACCCGTAGAAAAAAATCATTTTTTGTAGAAGAAGTGTCCTAGGGGTCATTATTTTATATGTTAGTCCTATAAAAAATTGACCCCCATTGAAAAATGAACCCCTTTAAATTGAAAAGAGATTCTTTATTGTCAAGTAAATAAAATTTCTTTTTAATATTCCTCCTTATAGTGTTTGCTTGAAGATTGATATTCCACTTCTTTTTAGAAATCAAACGATACAACAAACAGGTTCCAATACTCTTTGGCAAATCCTATTTGACAATGAAAGAGGAGGAAATATTTAAACCCCCCCCCCCCCCAAAAAAATTACGTCAAATTAAATGAAAAGCAAATATATAAATAAAACTCTATATCTTTTAATAATACTGAAAGAAGCTCTAGATAAAATATTGAAATGAAGTTAAGCCTTCACACAAGTTCTATCATATCATATTTACTTCGGCATGATTAAAGCATACTTTAAATGTTGGTGGGGGTATACTTGAAAGTTTTGTGGCAAAGTAACAGTTGAAAATTAGTAGAATAGTAGATTATTTTAAACTTATTTTTAGCCCCTCCTTATAGAAAAATAAAGGTAGGGTAGTTTTTTTGTTGCTTTTGTTGATAATCGACTTCCTCCTAAATACGTAAGGGGGTGGGGTGGGTATAACACCTAAAATATGCTCTGTGAAGCTATGGGCTAGTGTAAAATACACATTCTAATGCCAAAACTATACATGTAGACATAACCTTCTGATTTAACATACAGTATTCATCACGTTTCTTAATTCTTGTTTTACTCCACTCTTTTACCCGGTTCTGAGTATATTTTTCAGAGAATTTAATATGAAAATCAGAACAAACATTTTGTTTATTTTTTGTAACGTCTTCTTTATACTGTATCACAATATGAAAAGTTAATTGAAGACCATTTCTTTTAATGTCCGTGTAATTGAAGATTCGGGGGTATATAGTTTTATCATGTCCATCTGTATGTCTGTCTGTCTATCTGGCGGTCTGTTTCTCCGCAAAAACTTTAACCTTGACCATAACTTTTCATTTATTGTAGCTATGCCTTTCATTTTCATTATGTGTATATTCCTTGTGACAAGACCTTGCTTTGGGTACTGTCATGTTCTAAATTTTGAATTTACCGGGTGGGAGTAAATACAAAATTTAGAACATGACAATTGTCATTTTTTTTTTATTTTGAATTTACTGCCATCCGGTAAATTCAAAATTTAGAACATGACAGTACCACCAAATTTGTCCTTTTGACCTTTACGTTTGAGTTTGTCCCATTTTACAAAAAAATGCCAATTTTTAAATTTACTTAGGCTATAACTTTTAAACAGTAGATACTAGTACTCTCATACTTCACAAATATAATCCTTGTTACAATAAACTTTTCTTAAGAAACCATCAACTTTGACCCTTTGACCTTTGAGTTTGACATACCTTTCAAACACTTATCCTTAGCCATTAATTTTGAAGAAGTGGTGATAGGGCTTTCCTATTTTACAATTGTGTTTCTTGTGAGAAGACCCTACTTTGGGTACCATTGTATTTAAATTTCATTTAAGAAAAGATAAATCTTCTTTATGTTGCCATACAGGGGCATAGCTGTTTCACAAACACATCTATTTATATATCAGAGGAGTTGCGGATAACAGATGGACACCCCAGAGCGTAAGAGACGGACGGAAGGACATCCCGACCACTATATATCCTCCCGCTTTTCAAGCGGAGGATATAATAATATATGATACTGCAGATTTTTTTCTGTCAGTACGATGATTTTCACCATCAAACAAGATGTGTTTGTGAAACACTGATGCCCCCTTATGGCAACATAGCAAAGATTAAACTTTTCTTAAAAGCAAATTTAATTAATTGATACAAAAAGTAGGGTGTTCTCACTGGAAGAACAATTGTGAAATTTGAAAGTAGGCCAATGCTTAAGTTTTTTCAATAAGTACAAAAATCTCAAAGATGAAGGTTAAAAGGTCAAGGCAATTGGTATCCAATGAAAGGTCTTTCCACATAGAATACTTATGTAGAGTATGGAAGCCCCAGCTGAAACCGTTTAGAAGTTATGGCCAAGGTTAATTTCTTTTAAAAGTAGGTCAAACTCCAAGGTCAAGGTCAAAGGGTAAAACTTCTTGTTATCAAATGAAAGGTCTTGTTACAAGGACAACATATATGAAGTATAAAAGCACTAGCACTAACCCTTTAAAAGTTGTGGTTAATGTTTGCTTTTTTAAAGTAGGTCAAACTCAAAGGTCAAGGTCAAAGAATCAAAGTGCTTGGTATCAAATAAAAGGACTTTCACAAGGATTACATATACGAAGAATGAAAGCCATATCTCTTACCGTTCAAAATTTATGGCCAAGGTTAAAGTTTTTTCACAGGTACGGAAATCTACTAGGTCAAGGTCAAAGGGTCAAGGTTGTTGATATCCAATGAAAGGTCTTTCAACAAAGAATGCATATTTGAAGTATAAATGTCTTGGTATATACTGTTCAAAAGATATGGCCAAAGTAAAAGTTTAAAATTTTCATGTAAAAGTAGGTCAAACTCCAAGGTCAAGGTCAAAAGGTCAAATTTGGTGGTATCCAAAGAAAGGTCTTGTCATAAGGAATACACATATGAAATATGAAAGTCATCGCACCACTAAATCAA